TGGAACGTTAAAATCCAAAATGATTGTTGAGAGAGACTTTCAAAATAAACCGAAACGAACAAAGAACTCACATTTGATGTGTCACGCAGTGGTAGCTCGAAAAGCGATTTTGGAGTACTGTTCAGAATTCCATCCCAGTCGGCCATCAGCAATAAAAATCTCAATATTTCATCATTCTCATCGCCATTTCTTCGAAGTAAACCTATGAAATGAATGAGTAGACTGAGCAATAACTGAATACTGAAAATACAAACATGCTAAGCAGACATATACTTCACTGCAACATTTTAAAGGACGAAAATTAGAAGAATAGAATTCACTTCTTGAAAGTAAATTGAAATTTTACAAAAATAATTCTTCAGCTTACCAATTTTACGACGAAATTTATCAGCCGTCCTATTTTTGTCCTCAATTTTCGCCAGTTTTCCAGCTGCATCGTTAATCATTGATTCGATTGGAACACTCTGGAATTGATGAGAACAGTTATGGAAAATAACTTCAAATGATTGCAACATTGAAAGACAGAAATAAAAAATGTCAATTACATGGAAAAATATCAGTATCAATCCTTACTCTAAAAAATTTCACTCCTGGAAAATCACGAAGGACTGATATTTATTTACACAGAGTTTAATCATTCAATGTTTAGCACATCACAAGGAAAATGCTCACNGAAGGACTGATATTTATTTACACAGAGTTTAATCATTCAATGTTTAGCACATCACAAGGAAAATGCTCACTTTGAACTTAAACCTATACCTGAATCTAAGTTAGGCATACAGAATCCGCAGCCAGGAGAGAGTGGGGTACAGAGAAAATGTATGTGGTGTACGGAACCTTCTCAATAATATCTGACGATCATTCTTTCATATTCCTCGAGTCTTTTTTATTTTTTCTGAGCTCGAAAGAATTCTTCACGTATTCACTCGAATTCTTGAAATGAAGTGAAACTTGATAAACACTTACTGCTAATTGCTTATCATCATCTCTAATTGATGAGAGCAGTAACTGCTCATAAGCATCAGCTCTTTCACGCGGTGTGCACCTGTGCCCGACCAACGAAGTGACCAGAGCTGTCATACGACCCCATATCGAATCTCCATTCGTCACCAACACTTCATCATGCCACATCTTCCCTCAAACCTGTCATCAGAGCATTACGAATAACTGCGTATTCATTCGGCGAGCTTCGATATCAAGAAGAAACACTCGTGCAACAGTAACCTCGATTTACGCTAATTGAATGTGAACGAATACTAACGATCAAAAATCAACTGTAAGCGCTTCTCAGTGTCTCCGTCGCATGGAAGGAAAACACCTGACGGGTCTGCGATAATTGATTTCCTACTAAGTAGCACCC